CCGTACCCGCCTGCAGTGCTGCACTCGTTTTCAAGCGTGCGCACCCTGCAGTGTTCCTCCCCCCCTCCCCTCCTCTCTCTCACTCTCTCTCTCTCTTTGTGCCTTACCTGAAGGTCCTGTTTGCGGGAAGACTGGAGTTACCTGTTTGAGGCATATACTTTTTTTTTGGGGGCGGGGGGTTTGGAAGTTGATACCCTATATCCGTAGTATAACGCATGTGTGTTGTATACGAATACAACTCACCCCGTGCCTTTTTATAAATAACGCACCTGCGTTTTGTTCGGAGGAAGACTGTAGACACACTAAGACTGTCAACCTGAACCTGAGTATCATTAGCACATTATAAAGTTGAATGATTTCCACAACCAACCAAGTGTCAATGCCACACGGCAAAAAATGCTGACATACCGAAAGAGAACCCTAACCCCTTCACAAGCCATTGAACTCGATTCAACCCCTGACCCTCCAGGGGCTCCACGAAGCCGTTGAGAGGATGGGCAACGACAAAGTACCTGGGATTGACGGGGTATGACCAAAGAATTCTGGTGCCATTTCTGGCATCTGCTAGGGGAGGACCTCCTCCAATGCTTCAATGACAGCTGGGAAAAAAGAGGCCTAGCCAGGCATCGCATCTGACCGTTGAGTATTGTCTCCCTTTTGCACAAGGAGAAAGGCGAGCAGATTGACCTGAAAACCTGTAGACCGATTTCCCTCCTAAATGTCCCTTACAAGATCTTAGCCAAAACCATGGCCAAAAAAATAGAATACTTAACCCGACAGACAAATGCTTTCACTTAGACCAAGTGGGCTTCATCCTGGGCCACTATATCCTTGACAATGTGATGTCCCTGAATGAGCTGTGTAAGAAAGTCACCCAAAAATGTATGCAAGCGGCCATCCTATTCTTCGATTTCGAAAAACCCTATGATCAGGTCAACTGGGATTTCTTACACGACTGCATGGAAAAGACAAGGGTGGGAAGGGATTTTAGAAGCTGGATTAAAATCCTGTACAACGATGCAGGAGTTCAAGTGAATAAAATTGTATATCAGACCCATACCCCATCACAAGATTGGTTCATCACGGAGAACCCGCTAGCCCCCCCATCTTCCCGTTCGCCATGGAGGCAATAGCATCTTTCTGAGGAAAGACCCTTTGATCGATAAACTGATGATTCGACAAAACACATCGAACCCCTTCACACTGACGACCTCCCGACGACCCCAATGTTTGCGGGCCACCTGACAGTCCTGATAAGGGCCTCCAACTCTTCCTTCCAGGCAATAGTGAGAGCTATGTAGGTTTTTAGACTAACTGGGGAAAAACAGTGGGGTGGTGGTTGGCCAAGGATGAGAGAAGGTTAAACCGCAAGTACAAGGCCCCAGCCTTGCAGAAAGTTTTTGTTGCCACAAGCAAAACTCGGGGGGGCCGTGCGGCGTGGGGCGCCGTTGAAATAAAAAATCAGCGGCCTCCGAAGTGGTGCTGGTTTCGTGCTGACACCCGCGGGCCAATGTGTGGTGTACTGGTGCTCTAATGGAGGACCAAAATTTCAGACACCTTGTCATGCCACTTATATCAAAACTCAAAGGCCATTTTAACCAAACTTGCCACCAATTCAGGTGGGGGGGTCCCTGTTAACTGCTTGTGCCAAGGATGGACCCCGTTAGCTCGAGAACACATCTGAAAAGTTAGCAGGGACAACAGACGAGGAGGCTCTACGCTGCTGTTCAGGCATCATGGTTAACAAGGAATGCACCTGGCCGGTGGTCTCGATACTTCGGCCAGGAGGAAGGCACAGGCCTCCGTTCGAGGATGGGTGACATAAGTTAATACATCAGTTCTATCTACATTATGGTATATGGCCTCAATCTGGTCCCCCCCGTACGAGGCCTTGAAATAGCTCTTTTTTAAAAATTTTAATTAAAACCAGTCCCACCGCTAGGAGAGTTGATAAGAGCACCCCCTCCTAGCAGGCTTCCTGGATGCTCCGATCTGTTGGTGGGGAGCTGCACCTGCTGGAAACCGGGTCCAGCATCCCATTATACATGAAGAGTCTGAACATACTGTGTCGAGTGTAGACCTGCCAGCATTGATTGCCCTAGTTACCAGGGGATTAACTAAGCAGGTGGCAGATAAGGGGAATAAAGATTAAATCACTAGTACCTTTGCCGCATGGGAAAATAGCGGGCTTCGGGTGAGCCTCCGACCTTTTCGGAGGCCGAAACGAAATGACGGCCGCCGAGCAGGTTTATCGATGGCAGCCGTCGTCGGGCCCGGCCTCCGAATTCTTAGGAGTTTGGAAAAACAGCCACTTTTCCCTATTTTCCCAACACTGGCGGAGGTACTAGTGGTTTAAGACTTGTATGTACCAGGGCCCCATTGGAGTCCTCCCTGGGGGCCACCAGGAAGAGACTCTACTCGTGGGTGCACGTGGTATGTATGGGCGGGAAGATCATGGGCACCCATGTCAGGATTTCTGCCACTTGAAAGAGCTCAACCAGAAAGTCAGACGTTTCGTTTGGACTGGTGATTCCACAAAAAAACCCTGCAAAAATAAGGTGGCTTGGAAGTTTATGATAAGGTGGCTGGAGAAGGAAGGGTTGGGCTTACTAGGACCCTAAACAAGAGGCCTTGGCGTTACAGATGAAGTGTATAGTCAAGACTTATATTGCAGCTCTATTCCTTGGACACGAATGGCTCCGATAGTATCTTTTTTTTTTTTTTTTTTTTTTAAACCACTAGTACCTTTGCCGCTTGGGAAAATAGCGGGCCTCGGGTAGGCGTCCGACCTTTTCAGAGGCCGAAACGAAACGACGGCCGCCGATCAGATTTATCAATGGCAGTCGTCGTCGGGCCCGACCTCCGAAAATTCAGGAGTTTGGAAAAACTGCCAGTTTTCCCTATTTTCCCACGCGGGAAAGGTACTAGGGACTCTGCTACAAACTAACCCCGGTCAAAACCCTGGCAAATATGGATGGTACTTTCTGGATCATGTCAAAGGAATTTTTTGACAATCAAAAAAGGCCATCCCAAAAGGAATAGATGGGGGGCGGACTGGTAGTACTAGACCTAATCCCAAACCTTACTGGGCTTCGGTCCCTGAGCCGTGGAGAACCCTACTCCACAAGAAAATGTACCCACCGAGCACAAAAGAAGAGGTTCTGAGACAACCCTTATTCTGCCACCAATGGCTAACAAACAATAAGGCATCCCCTGGTCGCCATACACAAAAGACGTCAACTGGCTCTCTTGGGTAGAGAGAGAAGTCCGGACGATTGAACACTTGTGGAATAATCGGAAGAAAGCATGATGGAAATCCCTGCAGATCCTCAGAAGATACCTGAATGGGTCAGTGTCTGCTCTTAGCAGCACCACTAGCACTAGAGGGGGGGTTAAAAAAAAAAAAAAAAAAAAAAAAAAAAGATACCTGAATGGGTGTCCCCCGCTGGCTACTAACCTAAACTCAATCATAGAGAGCGTCCCTCTGTCATGGATCCAACTACTCAAAGAAGACTTTACATGCAAAGCCGGTGACAGGGGACTTCCTGCAATTAGACACCCGTCCGATTTGTCCTTTTTATCAAAAAGACAGGGGTAGGAAAATACCTACCAAGCAAACTTCATTTCCACAAGGGGTTTGGTTTCCTTGCCGTGCAATTGTCAGAACAGTCGGCGAAAGTTTGGTGAAACAGTGTCACAAGCGCCCGTCTTGTGTTCCTTTCTGGTGCAAACCATGACTAGCTTCATGGCTACTGCAGACCAAGTTCTTGTAACTAATGAGCCGAACAGCCTTAGGGCATACTCACACTAGGCCCTTATAATCGCAGAATCCCAAAATCAACGGTCAGATCGAGTCCTCCTTTTAAAAGGACTTGAGCTGACCGCTGATTTTCCAGTTCGGAAATTATAAGGGCCCAGTGTGAGTATACTCTTACAGCCTTGAACTGATGTGCAGACCTCGCAACCAAGCAAAGAGTGTGGTTTGGTTGGTTTAGAAGCACCCACCGCTGGATCTGTTATCTTAGCGGGAATTCTCTTAAAATTGGGAAGGTAGGTTGTTTGTGTGAAGCCCATGGGCGAACTGGTCCCATCGTCCACGGGAGTGAGACGCTGCCAAATGGGGCACTGTGCAGGCAACCCCTGGACATATAGTCAGAGCGTTGGTGAAAGTCTGACGAAACAGGCTGTCCCAGCCCCCTGTTTATTGCCGTTGTGTCCCTTTCTGCGTAGGGCTCACCGGGCAGTTGTCTGTGACAGTGTCTAATCAGGGTATTAGAGATGAGATGAGGATCGACTGTGGACCTTTTTTTTGTTTTGGGGTGAGGAGCGATGCATTTCTGACTTCTCAACAAATTAGTAAATTACCATCTGATTGGATTATTTTCTCTCTCATATGCTGACTGGTTGAAACTTATGTCGCTAGACTCGCTACCTTACATCAGTAGCTTGCCGCACATTTCAAAATTCCACACTGAAGGTCCATACCTTGGACTTCAATGGCGCTTGACGACATCCGAAAGCGAACCCCGATTAAATCTCCATAGTTCAAACATTTCAGGAATAGATTTTGCCAAGGAGAATGCTTTAATTGCTGATTCGCAAGCTTCTTTCTTGCAAGTTGTCATGGTTCACACAGTGTTTCCAGAATACTATGCGTTACCTCGACACTTTGTGTCCAGCAATTCGGTGGAGATGTCCAAATTCTTGCACTTTTTGTGCGCCTGGATGCTCACAAGAGTGTTTTCCTGTGGCTAGGAAGCCTTGAGTGACTTCGTAGCGACACCATGGACGGGACCTTTTGGGTTGTGGCAAAAGAATGGTCGATCAAGAAGGGGCGACCTGGAAGGACTAGGAGAGAGAGTGCCCATCAGTCACACATCTTTGTTGCATATTTGATATGTCTGGTTTTGTTCTCTTTTTTTTATATATTTCAAAGTTTCTTTGCGTTAAGGTATTGCGTCTTCTTTTTCTTCCCTCGCCTCCTTGGTTGCTGGCTGCAGGTGCATGGAGGGGTTTTTGTGGTCGATGCCTCCGACAGATCAAGGCTTCATGAAGCACGGGATTTATTGCTGGTGTCGATGTCGCATCCATATATGCTGGGGAAACCCTTTCTTATATTTGCAAATAAACAGGTAGCCCATCTGCCTATCCAACAAAGTCAAAAGACAAAAAAGCTGAACCAAAATAACTCCCTTCCATGTTACCCGTAACCCGGAAGATCGCAGGATGTGAGGGAGAGGTAAAGAGTTCAAACTTCAAAGTGATTGAGAACACAAGAGAGAGAGAGAGAGAGAGAGAGAGAGAGAGAGAGAGAGAGAGAGAGAGAGAGAGAGAGAGAGAGAGAGAGAGAGAGAGAGAGAGAGNAGAGAGAGAGAGAGAGAGAGAGAGAGAGAGAGAGAGAGAGAGAGAGAGAGAGAGAGAGAGAGAGAGAGAGAGAGAGAGAGAGAGGGCAAGAGAGTGGGAAACGAGGTCAAAAGTGAAGCGACACTGCTTTTTGTCTGCCAAATGGGTGTGAACTGGTGATGTTAATTTCATGTAATGTTCTGTAACTTGCTTGTGGAAAAGGAACCGGATTGTCGCTCCCCAGAACGAAGCGGTGCCACAGCCCTAAGGCCATGTCTTAGTGAAAAGGAAGGTGAGCAAAGAGAATAACGCGTTTCTATTGCCTCAGATTGAAGGTACCTTGCTGTTACACTGAGTAGTACACTTCAGTACACACCAATGAACTTCAGTCCAAGCGCATGTGGCCGAATGGTACACACGTGTAACGGTTAGTAAACAGAGCACGAGTTCGAATTCTGCTGGAATCAGATGAACACAATAAAGTTGGAGGCTAACCCCCCTTTTTGATGGAAAGAGAAAAGAGCAAAAGGAAGGGGGGAGAGACAGAAAGGGATCTGGAAGGAGGAAGAAGACCAGAATGAGAAGGTGGCAGTGAGATGGTTGAATGTGGTAAGGTCAGTGTTTTGGTTAATGGGAGTGCATCCTGGAGTCATCAATGGATTTGCCTGTTCGTTTCTGATTTCTCCCTCGAAAGTTGTGCTGCTTCTGCTGGACTTCCAGCTTCAGTACTGATTGATGATATATACTCAATCTGCCAGTCAAGCAGGGGCTTCACCCTGCAATTCTCCTCAAACTACTCCTCCTCATTCTCCTTCTTCACACCCTCCGCTGCCTCCCTGTCCACCCTTCCCCACACATGGACTTCCCACTCCACACCCTTCTTCTCCTTCCTGCTACCTTTCATCTCCTTCTTCCTCCTTCTCCCCTTGGTCACAGTCATCATGACCACGATCATGGGTGGAGACACATCATTGTTACAGCTCCTCTTGTCCATCGCATCTGCACTCATTCTCCAGTAGCTTTCCCCTCCACTCCCTCCTCGTTCTTCTCCTACTCATCATCACCATTGCTATTTAACCGAATGCTTCGCTTCACACCGTCCACTGTGTCCATCCTTGTCCTCCTCTCCCCAACGTCTTCCACTCTATCCACTCCCTCCTCGTTCTTCTCCTACTCATCATCAYCATTGCTATTTAACCGAATGCTTCGCTTCACACCGTCCACTGTGTCCATCCTTGCCCTCCTCTCCCCAACGTCTTCCACTCTATCCTTCTGCTCCTCTTGCTTGCAATCATCATCATGACCACCATCTCCATTCCCCCTTCGTCACAAAGTCGATGGCCTTGGCAGCGTCCTTGCTCCATGCCCCCCTCGTCGTCCTCATGTTCATCATGATCATCATGTCCATCATTGGCATTTCTACAGCCTCCTGTTTTGTCACAATCCCCGCGACTACAGAAGTTGCTAGTGTAAGAAAAAAACTCAAATCCGCGCTGTCCACGGCCCCACGAGGCCCAGGGGAGAGATCGTCGTGCAAATGTCAGAAATGCCATGAGGGTCGTTGGCGTCCAACTGCCACCAACAACCCAGATTGTCGCACAATCATAGAATCTTTTTCGTTTTCTTTTTCTTTCAATCTTTTTTTTTTTTTTTTTTGAACAAAACAAGAGCTTTTTCTTATTATTATATAATATAAAAGCTGGAAACCGGTTCCGGCTTACCTTACGTCGTTGACCCAGTCCACAGACTCCACACTACTCTCCAGTATGGTCGAGGGACCCTGAATCAGTGGCAGTGATTGCTTCCTTGTGGAAGGATTTACCTCTGCTCCCCCCTGCTCGTTGACTATGTGAAATGCGCGTGCTCCTCTCAGCCTGCCTGGCTGCCTGATGTGTACCTAGACTCCTGGAGCTTCCTTTATTGTTACCGCTTCTTGCCAGTGTGATATTCGAAATGAAAATATATTCCCTCCCAGCGTGTATGGTCGGTCCTCTACTGCCTTCTGCTCCGCCCCGTACTGGCTGAGTGTTCTAGTATTTCTTCTAATCCCGCATTCTCTAACGATCGCTGGCTGTTCAGTGTCTCTATTGCCATCCGACCTTGAATCTGATCCTGTCTCCTTTAGTCGTTCCCAGTTTTTCGTCTCCTAGTCTCCAGTCCGTTACCTGGCGACTCTTCGATTGTTTTCTTTGCTGTTTTCCATACTGCTCTGAGCTGTACTTCCACTGCCTACTTGATTCCCTGTATGTGGTTTCCAGGCGGTCTGTCGCTGCCCTCTAAGGTTACTTTACATCTCCTTGTCTATAGAACCCGCAGTATCTCCACCCTGAGCAGAGATAAGATGAACTGTCCAAACTCTGACAGTGGAGGTGATTGTAGAGCCTCTAGGAAGCCTGGTTCTCTGGGTCAACTTCCAGGACTCTGTTTGAGAGTGTGGACTGGGTTTATTCTTTCTTTTTCCATGGAAGTTCAGCTTTTTCGCATGCTATAGAATAGGTCCTCATGGGCCCGGGTACATCTCCACTCTAGGTAGCATCAGTTTGGTTCCTATTCCACCAGCAAGTCAGATAAAGAGACTGGTTTCCATTATTGCTGAAAACCGGTTTCATCGTCCCTTACACGATAACACCAAAAACACGTTCCTCCGTTATGCCCGAGGAACCCTGAGACAGCGGCATTTTGGTTGTTTCCTGATTGTGCAACAATATAACTCTGCTCACTATGTCCAATCAGATACTGAGTAGGACTGCTCATATCTTCAGCTATCTGTGCTAGGCTGCTAGCCGCCTGATCCTCTGACTTAGTTACTAGAGCCATGCTATCCTGTCTCGCCAAGTTCCTCTGGTTCCTCCTTGGATTGAAAACTAGACACTTTCCAAACCTCATAAGGAATCTCTCTCTGCGCTACTGTTCACCCATTGTTTGCTGTACTATGAACGAGATCATCAGAGGTTGTGGATATTTTCGTCCAGGTCTAGACGTTGGTTGTCGTCTTCCAAATGGGGTTCTCCGAACTGTGCCCAGTTCAGATATTGCCCATGAATAATTGCAAACTTCCTCCTGATGCTGGCCTCCTCTTCTGGCTTGGCTAGGAAGAGTCTCTTCATTTGTGGTATGCACGGCTCCCGCACAGCCCCCTCCAGGGGCCCGTATTGGTTCAGGTGTGGTGGAGGATGAGTTTGGGGTGTTTTGAAATTTGAACTGTTTTCTCTATTTTTCGGGTCATCTGCAGTTTTCCGAGAGTTCATTTTCGATTGTTCTCACTTTGTTTGTCTGTTACGAGTTCACTTTTGTCTCTCGCAGGTTTGTTCGGTTTGCATGTGTTGTTGCCGTGTTTTTGCCCGGACCAGTAGTGTCGTTTGGGCCAGTTGGCCTGTTTCAGGCCCAGTGACCGTTTTTCAGGCCTGGCACACTCTTTTTGGGGCTGAGCCACGCCAGCCCCTGGTTTGTCCTTTGTGAGGACACCTCTGCTGATGCAGCAGAGGAGCCTGGACATCGGGTTGGGACCCATGCAGACCGTTTTTAGGCCAGGCATCAGGACCAGGACTTGGGCCCGCATCCTGGACCGTCGATCGGAGGTCCGATTGGACGGCCCAGGACACAACACAGGACGAGGTAGGATCCAGAACGCCCAGCACTATATATAGCTGGTCCAGCCTCCATTCCGGCCACACAGCATTCTGGGAGTCGCATGGCCATTCTGCTGGAGCAGCGCTGGGGTAGCTGCGCTAGAGGAGAGCAGCGCTGGAGTAGCTGCACTGGAGTAGGGTAGAGGAGTTAGGAGGATAGCAGGGCAGAGGCGAGAAGGTACTGCGTGAGAGGAGACTTGCATGGGGGCTTACCTTTTTTTTTCTTCACAAAAAACAGAACCTTCTTTTTCTGGCTCCTTTCCATTCTGGGGAGCGTCAGTCCGGTTCCTATTCCACCGGCAAGTCAGAAGGGGTTACAATAGTTACAAACCCGCGCTCCTCCCCATTATGGTTGAGAGGCCCGAGCGGACGGCATTGATTACTTCCCTAGGGAAGGATGTACCACCCCTCACCCCTGCCTAAGTTAGCTTATGTGACTTACTTCTGACGTTGCTTCTGACCTTGGTAACTGGTCCTGTTTCTCCTACCGCTACTTGCTTTTGCAGCTTGCCTATGGAAGCCTAGTCTAGCTGATTCCTCTCAGCTACATGGCCGTCGGATCTGCAACAGGTATTGAAATCGGTAGCTTGGCTTCGTCCTAGGCCTCTTGCCTAAGCGTCAGACCTAGTATTGGATTCTGAGTGCTAGGCTGTTTGTAGGCTTTGGTGGGGGCTTACCTGTTTGGTGCCATAGCCGGAGTTTGTCTTCAGGCTAGAGAGAGAGAGAGAGAGAGAGAGAGAGAGAGAGAGAGAGAGAGAGAGAGAGAGAGAGAGAGAGAGAGAGAGAGAGAGAGAGAGAGA